TGAGTGAGTGCCCTAAGTCATTTTAGCCCAAATCTCCACCTCATCTCCATGCCATGTATGACAGATGCATTATGAATATTCTGCTATCAAGTTATTCAGTCCCTCTTACTCTGCATTCACAGATTTGACTCAGTGGAAGTAGCATAAAGAGGGAAAAAATGCTCCCAATTCTTACCAACTATGAGTCTGGCAAGTAATTTAATCCCTCCTAATTTGAGGTTTCTTTCATTTGTTTATTTAAAAAAAAAGTTTGGTAATATGTCACTAACCCAATATAGAGTGCCTATGGAAAATAAAAATAACCTGAATATTTAATTTTATTGCATTATATCACAATAATATATATTTTGTTATATCAAAGAATTTTTTAGATCAAATAAATATTTATTATTATTGTGTTATATCACAGAAATTTCTCCAAAAAGACTATAGGATAGCACAAATCATGACAAAGGTAACTTAGTTATGTGAAGAATGATGGCTGGAGCTGGCCAGTGTAAAAATCCTTCACTTGTTTCTGATTTGTTCAGTAGCCACAGCAAATAACAAGAATATGAGAAGTGTGCAAGATATACAGATGACTCTGGTGGGAGTGCAAGAATGACACTTTGAAAGTTGGAGGAAGGAGGAGGAGAGGGACAAAGTTTTTTTTAAAAACATCCTGAAATTTATTATTTCTTACCAAGCAGATGCCTGGGAGTATCACATAGTATATGTAATAATGGGAAATAATGCAGGTAGATAAATTTTGGTATGTGTTGAGCAAGCAATAAATAACTGCTCCTTGGGCAGCCCCGGTGGTGCAGGGGTTTAGCGCCGCCTGCAGCCCAGGGCATGATCCTGGAGACCCTGGATCAAGTCCCACGTCAGGCTCCCTGCATGGAGCCTGCTTCTCCCTCTGCTTGTGTCTGCCTCTCTTTCTCTCTCTGCATCTCTATGAATAAATAAAATATTTAAAAATAAATAAATAACTGCTTCTACGTTGCAGTCTTTGAGAACCTGAGATATAGACAGTTCTGATCATGCTGATGCTTCCAGCTGGGAACAAAGTTCATGTATCCTAGTTTATCCCAAAGTAAGTGAAGAACATCTAAGGCGCACTGTGCTGAGGTCTAATTATCTTTGCACCATTGACAGAAAAATATAATTTTATTTGCCTTGTTGATAACAAGTTTTATATTCTTACTATGTGGGTGGGTCTTTTAGCCAAGCTATGATGGCAGCATTCCAAGTCACCTGCACTTCTTGGGAGATAGCAGATGTGTTCAGACTTCTTTTTGGTGAATCATTAACTTTCCAGGCCTTAAAAAGGCCTGCACACAAGAGCTCTGCAAACCATCTGTGCCTCTGCTTCCTACCAATTCTGGTAACCCTCTCTAACCAACACATGTATTTACATTGTTAACTCTTAACAACAAAGCTCCATCAACTTCAGAAAATTCATGGCAAGGCAAGTATTGCTTTCAGATATTTCTAGGTTATGGTCTCTCAATTAAATGCATTTTTGTATTTAATACAGACTCAACTAACTTAACTTTTGCAGGCTACCAAACAGGAATGTAAAGTCCCATTTCTTTAAAGGACTGGAAGAAAGCACCAATTATCATCCTGAATAGCTTTTAGTTAAAGTGATACCTAAACTATACCAGACTAATGAATTGAGACCATTTCATAGGAATTTTACTCTATCCCATTTACTTCATGCAGTATCCAAAATGTTGTACACTCTTTGGCTACCTAGTGGGAAGATATGTTAGATATACATTTATTCACAGCTCAGAATCACCATGGACTCATTAACAGGCCTTCTCATTGTAAAATAGTACTTTCTGCAAGCACTTCACATGGCTTATCAATCAACTCAATTTACATTTATGAGTGTCCTTCACGTGTCCATCCCATGGTGCTAGGGGGACTTTATATAAAAGAAGATACGATAAATATTTAAAAGGCTAAATCAAACAAATAAGTTTTTTAGTTGAACCTTACAAATCAACAGCAATTTTAAAGCTCTCATGCATAAAAGAATAGATTTCCTGGCTGAAGAGCAGGGTGTGGAAGGATATGATCTATTACAATCAGTCTGCAAGGTGGGAGATGGAGGTCAGTGATTGTAAATTGTGGCAGAAACTCCTCCAGAATCAGGAAGTCTTTATGTGACAGGCGTGCACTGAGTAGGTGCAGAAAGGAAACCATACGGTTAATAAAACACACATGCGCCACACATACAAGCACACACATGCACACACATACAACTTTACAGTAACCCTAAGGTCAAAAAGTTTGATTTTAGAACAAAGAAAATCACCTCTTTAAAGTTAGCAGCATAGATTACATTTTAAACACTTATACTAGGGAACCAATCAGTAGCAACCCAATTTTATCTGTACTAAATTCAGGGAAATTTGAAGACATCCATGCTTGAATATCACACAGACAATTATGCAAAACATCAAGCCGCTTCATAGGTCTGCAGGGACTGGAAAGAATATCTGAGTATCGTCTGCATACATACGACACTACAGGCCACGGCATTGAATAATGTTATACACTAAAAATATCTAAATATAAAGCTAAATAGGATTTCAAACAAGCCCCAGGGGAATCAGAAAGTAACTTGGCAAAGCACAAACCATTCCCTAAAGAAACAAATTGAAAGGAGAATAAAAGGATAAAGAAACTATCCAAAACAACCCATGCTAATTCCAGAAATTCAAAAACATAGAGTTCTATCAAAGAATGACACAGTCAGCAGTATTCAAACTAGACAAATAGCCTTAAAAGGGTACAAGAAAACAGACATTCAACCAAGAAAATGCTCATGGACATTATGTAGTAATCTAAGTCTCAGGTCAGTAGTATGTGCATTCAACATGAGGTGTTAAATTGATATCCTAGCAAAAATCCAAGATATACCGTCTTTATCTAATGATTAGTAACAATTTTAGTGTTGTTGATGAAGAGCTTAAAAAACAAACAATATAAGTGTCCAGCATTGTAGATTCTAACTCAACTGTTTTACCTCTATCATTGTGGACCCAATGCCCCATTTTAGAAAAGTTTTATATATATTTATATAGATGATAGATAGATAGATGATAGATAGATAGATAGATAGACGATAGACGATAGATAGAATTCTTAAGGGACAAAAGGTGATATTGCTGTTGTATTATCCTTATCATTATCCAATTATCAAATATATAAACATTATATAGTTTTTTCTTCCTCCATGTAGACCACCCATCACTTTTTTAAATATTTTATTCTTGATCTGGTTTTCTTATTACACTAATTGTCAAAATTTGCTACCTCAACCAAAAAATTGCACTAAATGAAGTCAAACAGGCAAGGAAGAAATTACTCAAATCTACTGAAGTAGGAGAGAGAGACTGAGCATAACTCCTCTGAAACAAAAGTCAAATGGATTTTTATTTTATTTTTTAAGACTATCTACTGTTTATTTATTTATTTATTTATTTATTTATTTATTTATGAGAGCATGAGAGAAACAGCATGGGTAGGGGGCTTGGGTAGAGGGAGAAGCAGACAGGAGCTACCATGGACTAGATCCTAGGACCCTCAGATCATGACCTGAGCCAAAGGGAGACATTTGATTGCTTAACTGATGAGCCATCCAGATGCCTCTCAAGCGGATTTTTAAATGCTGGGATGAAATAAAGGAAAAATTATTGTTTTTTTCTGGAGGACTTTGCAGGAAATCATGTCTAGGATTAAACTATTTATGTTTGCTAATTGTCAATTCTCTCTCATTGAAGTTAGGATCCCTCCCTATCCCACCCCCCCCCACCCTACCCTCCACTGAAACTAAGAGATAGGGGCTCTACCTTCCTTGGTGATTACATAATTACATTTCAAAGGGATGGCTCTCAGTCCTTGAGAAAGACTTCCATGCATTATAAAACCGGAAATAAGCTGGGAAAAGTTTACATCTCAAGGGATCAGGGAAAGAATCTCTAATTACAAGGTTTCTAAAGTCAATGCACCAAGTAAAGGAAGTGTTGGAAAGAAACCTGTCCAGAGTGTAGCCAAGCTGTGAGGAATATTAAGGACATCTTGGTCAGCCATATGCATCTCTTAGAAAGTACCGCTCAATTGCCCTAGAAGTTTATCTCCCAGACTGGTGGCTGTTGGAAGTATTCCAGATTTTTTTTAAGATCTTATTTATTTATTCATGAGAGACACACACACACACAGAGAGAGAGAGAGAGAGAGAGAGAGAGAGAGAGAGAGAGAGGCAGAGACACAGGCAGAGGGAGAAGCAGGCTCCACGCAGGGGGCCCGATGCGGGACTCAATCCTGGGTTTCTAGGATCAGGCCCTGGGCTGAAGGCAGGGGCTAAACTGCTGAGCCACCTGGGCTGCCCAAGTATTCCAGATTTTGATTAACAAAATAAAGTTACCAATTTCCATAGCAGAATAAAACAATGATCATTACATTATAGAAAAACAAATATATATATGATTATGCTTATGAATGTGCTCAGTATAAAGCAAAATCATATTTAATATCATCATGATCAAAAATGGATAAGCCTCATGTTTCTAACATTATATGAGATAAAATGGTAGCAATAAATACATTTTTATATTTTTACTAAGATTATGAATGTTCTGTAGTCAATAGTCATGGATGAAATATTTTATAATTTTAAACCTTTCCATTTTTTGATGCTTAGAGAAGTAAATATAACATTGCATAGATGTGATATAAATATGTGTCAATATTGAATAAAAGAAACTAATTCTTGACCACAATTAGTTTTAAATGAATACTGCCACACCAGTGGGCAAAATGAAACCCACCAGATTGATTTTCTTTGCCCCGAATCCTTTGTAATAAAATATTCATATCTATATGCTCTCAGGAATTTGGCAGAACACACTTCAATTAACATACCTCAGTGCTTCTAATTTGATGGCTACCAAATTAGAAATTTAAACAACATAATGGAAAGAAGTCTTTTGTGATAAACAAACCTTGTTGCTGTGGGCAAGCTTAGATCCTTTTTGGTTCTGTTGTTGTTGTTGTCATTGTTGTTGTTGTTGTTGTTGTTGTTTCTTGGAACTGTGCTTGCCTGTAAGCTACCCACCTGGCTACTCAGGCTCTCCTTGGGAGAGGACTCCACGGTCCTTCTCTTCAGTTGTTCACAGCTTTGTTTAATTTCCTATTGAAAGAAAAACTCAAACTTGTTGGGAGATTTTTCTGAAGTCACTGCAGGTAGTTAACAGTTTGGTTAAAAATAATTAAGCCAATTTGTTAATATGAAACTTAAACTCCTTCAGATAGAACACTAAGCTCACAGGATAAAAGAGACTGCCTAAATGGAAGGTTCTCCGGGGAGGCTTGGAGCCAGACCCAGCATGAGGTGCTTTATTTTCTACTGTAAATCTTCACACTTCTGCAAAATTGTTGGAAGCCAGTACCTCTGTGGGTAGTTTTGCTTATTCTTTCCTGCATGTAACTGGTCCCTACTGGGAGTACCTCTAGTTGCTCCCAAGCAGATACCCTACAGCTAGCTCAAAGCATTAACAGAATGCAGAGTGAACTGAATACAGTGTGACAGATGCTTTCAGAAGGGACAGCCAAGGTAGAAACAAAAGACAGAATAACAGAAACACTGCACTTGCCTCCAAAAAAGATGGAATTGATGCTCATTCTCCCAGAATAGGGGAAAAGCCCATTCAATTCTGTTAGTCCTATTTATACTTCTGAATCATTTGAAGCAAACTGTCCAGCTTTCATCAGTCATAAGTGCCTGTCAGTAGAAGGTAAGGTGTTTAGTCTTCAAATAGTATCTTAGCTAACAAACGAACCAATGTTTCTTCTTGTTACAGCTAAAAGTCTAGTTCAGTCAAGCATTAATATTCATGTGTGCAGATATATTTATATACACTTTATATTTATTCATTTTTCCATTCAGTATATATTTATTGATTGCCTCCTCTTGTACAAGGTACACTGCCCTAGGCACTACTGATACTGCAGCGAGTAAAGAAGAAATCCACATAACTTTTGTTTACTTAGCCACTGGATGAAAATAATAAAATAATTCTATCCACGTGATTGTTTTAAAACTCTTTGTTTTGTTTTGAAATTTGATCTTAGGTCTAAGAAATTTGCTTTGTCGTTGCAAGTCTTCATTCAAATTAATTCTCCCCTATACCCTTGTACATAGATGGGTTTCTTTGCCAATCTGCATATAAAAGGTTCATAGGCAAGCAAATACTGATTCTCACCTGAGCATAGCACCAAGATGGAGAGGTACTCATGATTCTTAGTAGGGTGTCTGTCTGTCCACATTCATATACATGTGGCATACAACCATATAAAACGTGTCTATAAGGTAAAAAAACAACTGATTTTCATACAAGACTTTTAAAACCAAATGCATATTATAAGCATGAAGTCTGTAAAATGCGTGTTATATTTATAGGAAGATCCTGTCATATTCAACAATAAAAAAATAAATGGATTTTGTATTCCAGAGGCTCTTCTGATATAAGCTATATTTATACCCCCAAAATATCACTTGCCAGTTTCAGAATACACTATTGTGCCATTAATAATTCCTTAATTTCTCACTGAAGAAGACTTTATAGTCTTCTATTCTAACTACTTATGAACCTACTGAAAAGCTTTATGTTTGTCTTAAAATCCATCTATTTTTTTATATTAAAAACAAAATAGCTCCCTCATTGAATCTTTAAAGAATGTTTGTATGTGAAAGAAAACGGGACACACTGGAAAATATTTTCCTCTCTCTGCCTACATTTTATATGTCCATATTAGTACACATTAATTTTAAAAGCTAGAAAAAATATGGTAGAAATCTTAGGTGGACAAATTTGGTCTACACATTACACAGTGGAACATAATGTATTTGGGGAAAATAGCTACAGCCATTCCATAAATGAATAGTAGAGCAAAGATTTGATGTGAAACAGTGTTGAGATTTCTAAATAAATATTTTGCTCAAGACCTCCAAACAGGTAAGAGTATCCTCTATTGATTTAGTAATTGCAAAAAAAAAATCAGAAGATGGACAAAGGGTGCTTTTCTAAAAATTATATTTAGTTTATATTTATATTTTTTTAGTTTATATTTTCAACCAAGATAAAAAAAAAGAAAACTAGATTTGAACTATATATAGTCTGGTTACCCTTAAATTCTGCCTCACATTTCAGATTAATTTTTACTTCTTTGCCCTTTATTGTCAGCACTCTAACAAGACAAAATTTCTAGTTATTTTAATCGATAACTCAAAAACATTTATTGATCACTTACTGAGTACAAAGTGTTTGGGAGGTTCTGCAAAGAAATAGCACAACTCCTGAACAAACTTGCTGTCTTTCTGAAGAGATTAAAGAATTGTGTGTGTGTGTGTGTGTATGAACCAAATATAACACGTATAGGATCATAACAATAAGTAGCAATAACCATGTAGTTAATAAGCAGCTACAGTTCTCTGGTATATTAAGTGTTTATTGTGCACACTACTATTTTATCTAGTGCTGGATAATAAAGAAGTGAAAGAGTTAGTCCCTGTCTTTAAAAATTCAAATCATAAAACATCTTGAAGATGGAGTATTTAAGACATCACTTAAGTTCACTTTTCACTTTCCTAATGAAGAAGAGTTTACAATGCAGAGAATAAACTGCATGTGCAAAGAAAATGACAAAAAAGAAGTACAAAACAAATTAAACTATAGCAAGATGTAACATAATCATGAAGTAATTAATTAAAGTGAAGAAATTCTGAAAATGGAAGTAAAGGTAGGGGTACAATTAATTAGGCAAATCTTTAAAAATACGTTTATGATGTCTCAAATGTTGCATAGCTATTGAGAGGCTACCTCATGTATCTGAAATGCCCCAGTGATTGTCAGGTAGAGTCCAGCTACCTACAAACAAGGTTTCAAAAAAATATTTATTTTCACATAAAGTAGGTGAAAATGCCCAAGAAGAGAAAGGCTATGCTTGAATCTGCACAAGAAAATGAATACAGGGAGAGCTGTGTGACTCAGTTAAGCGTCTCTTGATCTCAGCATCAGAGGATTGAGCCCCAGCATCAGACTCTGGGCCCAGCATGGAGTTTGCTTCTCTTTCTCCCTCTGCTCTTCCTCCTGCTTGTGCTCTCTCTCTCTCTCAAATAAATACATCTTTTTTAGAAAAAAAAGAAAATGAATATAAATTCAAGAGATTTCACCAAAATTATAAAGCCAGCCACATACTGACAATGAAAACACCAAGACCCATCAGGTAAGGGGGAAGAATTCTGCATCAGGGAAAATACAAGTAACTAATACAATTTCCCATCTCATTATAGACCAATGTTAATTGAAAAATTAAGAATCAGGGTGGCAGCGGTTTGGCGCCAGCCTTTGGCCCAGGGCGCGATCCTGGAGACCCGGGATCGAATCCCACGTCGGGCTCCCGGTGCATGGAGCCTGCTTTTCCCTCTGCCTGTGTCTCTGCCTCTCTCTCTCTCTCTCTCTCTGTGTGTGTGTGTGTGACTATCATAAATAAATAAAAATTTTAAAAAAAGAAAAAATTAAGAATCACTTATTTACACACTAACAATTAAATTCCACAATAGTCTGGCTAAGAGTGTATGACACTAGTAATCATACAATCATGGAGCACAATTTTGAATAATTTCTATGGGACAACTAATGCAATGTGTTTTTGTCAAAAATTTAAAAATATTCATAACTTACACCTTACCAAATCTTTTTAAAAGCTGTTTTGAGGAAATCATTCAAGACTTCAGGCACAAAGATAATATTGTGATTTTATTTATATTATTACAAATTTGGAAACAATATAAATAGGAAAACTAACTAAAATATTATGATTCAACAATCAAATAAAATATGCACACATTAAGTATTGTGTTTACACATTTTAAAATCTGTGTATTCATTGTCTCTATTTAGAAATGATATTTTTCCTCCTCCTTAATCTTGATACATTACAAAGTTCCTGAATTAAATGTACTCCTTATAGGATTAAAAAGTTCTCTAACTTTGGTCACCAAATTGATGTTAAGTAAAATCAAATGAATTATTAACAGGGTAGGAGATGAAGAACTAAAGATAAAATGGCAAGGTATATCCTGGTCAAATTCAAACTGTCCTTGTAACACCTAATCTGAAAGACTCCCAACATGTGGGGGTACAGTATGAAAGTGTTACTGGCCTCTGTTATCATGGTGCATGATGACCCAAAGTTCTTTCTAAAAGGAGGTCATTAGGGGCAGCCCGGATGCCTCTGCGGTTTAGCACCCCCTTGGACCCAGGGACTGATTCTGGAGACCCGGGATCGAGTCCTATGTCGGGCTCCCTGCATGGAACCTGTTTCTCCCTCTGCCTGTGTCTCTGCCTTTCTCTCTCTCTCTCTCTCTCTCTCTCTCTCTCTCTCTCTCTCTCTCTCTCTGTCTCTCATGAATAATCTTTAAAAATAAAATAAAATAAATAAAATAAAATAAAATAAAATAAAAGGAGGTCATTGAACCAATATAAAATACCATGACATCACTCTCAGTACCCCCTCTATTATCTCAGAAATATTTACCTGTACTTACTTTTGGAATTGTATGTTCATTCTAATAACACTTGAGAAGAGCTCACACACATTTTCTGAGTCTATATTTGAAAAATAGCAATGTGTGGGCAATGGGATATTCTCCATTTAGTACTCAGATCTTTTAACATTGAAAACTCTTGCTCCTATGGGACCTAAGGCTGTTGGGTGTATGTGTATATATATATACATACATGTCCGGGTTATCAGTTTGGGAGAAATACTACATTACATCAAACGAGGTATTTTCAATTTTAGTATTTTATATTGTAAAGCTAAATATAGTTTGGCTGTTAGCTAAAATTGCATAGTTATTTGAAAATTTCACTTATACTTTGTTCACAGATCCATCTTTGCTCAAAAGCATAAAGTGACTTTAAACAATTCCTTATCTGTTTAAATAAGTTTTGTCTCTCAAAGTAATCAATCGATCATCAACACGTGAGCAACTGAACTCTTTATTTTCTGGAAATAAGAAAAATTTTAAAAATATACATATAACTGGTGTCACTAACATTAACAAT